TAAAGTTGGTCAGACTGAATACCCCAATACCGTTATTCTATTTCTTCGCTAAATTTCTTTGCACAAATTTGCAAATTATAAATCATTCATTTACTACTCATTGCATTCGCTTAGAAGTCCTTCCTCGTCCACCTGCAACCCCCCCCCCAAAAAAAAAAAGCTGCAAAAGAGACGCATCCTTACCGCTTTCTTACAGAATCTCCCACGTACTGCCTAAAATTTACATCAGCCCCTCCTCTGACCCCCCACATTTCCGCCTCGTACGCCAGTCTTCACTCGCACGGCATCGGACATACATTTTCCACAATCTTCATTATCATATCAGATGTTCTCAAACGATCGCCATCATTTGAGATTATCATCGCAAGTACTTGATCAGTCCAAAGTCGCATCGTAATTTGCACTGTATCTAATAATATTTTGTACAACCAGTAGGAAGGCCCCTCCCTGTACGGGACAGCAGAACACAGAAATAAGCGGATAAACTTCCATGCCTTGAGTGGGATTCAAACCCACGGTCCCTGTGTTGGAGCGCACAAGGCCCACGTCCCAGGTGGCGCGGCTACTGTCAGCAGCATTTTTAATAAAACTTTATATAACTCGATTTAGACTTGGGTACTTCTTGTACTACGCAACAACACCGTGTTACGTTAACACTGCATGCACGCCAAAGTAATCGACCTTGCGCGTTTTAATGGCCCTAAAATCTATTACCACTTGGTGTTCTGGGCATGAAGGGGCGCTAAGAATGTTTGATATGAAGACGAATAAAAGACGTCGAACTAAGGGAACAAGATCAGGTCAGAATCTCCAAGTCTGCAGCTTTGGAAAAAAAATTTGATGGTGTTCGGACACTAGTCCACGCCCTCGAGAACATTCGAACTCTGACAAAATGTTTCAACAGATCTTACCGTGCGTATGAATTCAATGGACAACAAACAACCGGAAAAAATTGGACGTAATAATCCAGAATTTCGGTAAAATGTTTCTACCATTTCAATTTTCATTTACATCGGACGATTTCAATGGCCACTTTGCACAACAGCATAAACACTGCAAGGTACTTTTCTGAAATGTTTGCGAAGGAAAGCAACATAGACTGATTAAGACAAAAATGAAAATTATGTTGTATTAATGGATTTTAGATTACTGCGGTGTACTCAAGTACGGATTTCACCCTTCCAGTCTTGTTTCGTGACAATCAAACGAAATTACGGAATCATCAAAGAAGGAAACACCAAAAATTGGTCTTTGCGCACTCGCAGCAACGATGCTTGAGGCACCATCTGTCATTCAGACAGGACAAGTGTCTTGAACACCAAAGAATATTGCACATTGATATCAACTCACCGTAGAGTCCGGAGTGACGGCAGAAATGTAGAAAGATCACCTGCTCCCGACCCTCCAAGCTCCGACTTCGCACCGGCAAAGCATTCGCTTACAACTACGGAGAGCAGTGGATAAACGGGAGAGCACGGCTATAATACTCGCGCATGCGCGGAAGTATACTCGCGACAACGTCGACTATACACCGCGCACTGCCTCAGGGGAAGGAGGAAATGGTGCATATTCCTTGTGCAGACCCAGATTAACCTGGAAAGAGAGCGAAATTTCTCCGTGCTGTGTTTGTGTGGCTTTGATTGATGCGTCCAAAGAGACGGACAGGCCATGCATGCAAGGATGACTCAGTTGACTTGTTCAAACCAGTTTGGACAAGGAACATCGCGGGGACTGATCTTGGGCCTGGAGGCTGGCAGAATCTGCTGAGGCTGCTCGTAGTTTTCCTCAGTCCCTCCGGCATAATGCTGGGGTTGTGGTTTAAATTGGGTCACAACCGCGTTCCATAACCCCGCAAGTGAGCACTGTTAGAGCATTGTAACTTGCTGATTCGTTGCCAAAGGATCGATCGACAAGCCATGTTTGAATACAGAACTTCTCAGGACCCTGGCACAAATCCATAAATATTAGAAAGGCTGCTGAACTCTGACACGGACAGAATCAGTTGGCCTCGTAGCAAGCTCGTATCCAACCGGACGGTCATACTAAATATTCCTCCTTTCTCAGCCTTCGGCTGTAGCAACGTTTTAACAGATTTCAGAAGCCTATCCTCCCGTTTGGTCGCAGTTCAGAATCAGGCAAGCGAATGTTTGTAGCCGACAAGCAGGAAGGAGTTCACGAAGAGTGCATTCCGAAGGCTTATAAAAGCTTATGTCATACCACAGTGCTGCGTTTGTTGCAACACCGTTTCAACATTTCACTGTCTATTACAATTGTAGTTCGCGAACGCAACGTTCTGGAACAATGCTAATTGTTCAGCGTTCAAACAGTGCGCAGATCTACTGAAGTAAACTGCGGAAAATTACTTGCTTCCTATTTCCGTCAAGACCAGCTTAATAAAGAGCTGAATATGGTGCAATTACGGCAAGAACCCCCCACCCCCACCCCACCCCGCACAGACACTGAGGCGATCAGCGTTCTTATTCCACCCAGTTAACACATTTCGAAACACAGGCACCGGCTGCTTCAACAATGGGACACGATAATCAGCGTCCTGCATTTGCCCAACAACAATGGACAAATATTTCAATAACAACAAAGACAAAGCTCTTTTTGAGAATCTGACAATGTTATCAAAGCATTGTTGCTTTCTATCTCCTACCTAACCTAACCTATAACAAACTCCTCGAGAAACTCAAGGCTGACAAAGAAATTCCCCGCTGTTCATGGTGCCAGAACGTTCCCTACCGTGTTCAATAAACCACACTGCCAGATTAATCCACTCCACACTCTCCCGCCCATTTCCCTGAGACTCATTTTAATATTATCTTTCAATCCAGAGTAGTCTCTTCCGTTCATTTTTCGGTACTCTCATTCGTACTATGTACCCTGCCCATCCCATCCTCCTTTATATCATTATCGCAGCAATATTTGGTGAAGACTAAAAAAACAAGTGATGGTTGTTTCGTCGTTTCTGCAAAATCTGAATTTCTTCACAATATTATTCATTAGCTACCTTTAAATCATGATTTCGTCTTGTAGTATGACGACGAGACATGAAAATACGACGTTTCCTCTGTGTTTAATTCTGGACGAACATCCTTACTGGTATTTCGTAGGGCTTCTGTGTTTCTGTTTGTGATATTTATGTCCTCGCCCAGTAAGAGAAGCCGTACTCGAAAAATGGTTAAGACCGGATGCTTTCGAAATCCTGCCACAAAAGCTTCACATTCTGGCTACAGAATGGCAAACAACCAAAACCAGAAAACGACGACATGGAGTGTTAACGATCTGCGTAAGCCCTACTCCAAAATTCCAGAAGTGACCACGGGTTACAGGAAGCTTGCCTGTGGCATCGCCCTGAACCAAAACTCAGTTTCTACCAGACTACGCGGCAGACTCCAAACCTGCCATCGTGAGAACCTGAAAACTCACATTTTCAAAGCCTGGTCACCCGGACTGCAGAGGAACATACGCCGACTTTAAAATGATTGAATGTGTTGTGAAGAGAATGAGGGCAAGTTTGATGGTGGCTACCGTTGTTACCGACCAAGATCTTGGCAGCGGCACATGCCGTCAATTAATACTAGATGCTACCGCCAGATCGATCGTCTTATAGTAATTTTACTATCACTGGAGGTAGGTAGCAGCACAATACAGTAAACGGGACAACACACGCCGCCTATCTGCCTACATAACTAACACCCTGGTAGTAGAACCTTCAAGTCCAATAACGTAGCACCAAAGCCTGTCACCGGCCACGATCCTGAGCCAACTCCATCCATTTGCCGTCCTCACAGCCCACCTACCATCTACTTCTTGGTCTGCCCAGTGGTTGTTTTTAAAAAGAATTCCCCACCAAAATTCTGTATACACCCCTTGCGTGCTCCATGTCCAGCCCATCAGAACCTCCTAGATTTCACTATTCTGGGTGACCTGTACAATTCATGCAGCTCCTCGCTAAGTAATATTCTAAATTGCCCACTTATTTCTTCCTCCTGGGTCCAAATATCATCCTGAGCATTCTGGCTTCAAACACTTGTAATCTACGTTTTTCCTTCGAGGTAAGAGTCCATGTTTCACAACCATACAAGACAACAGGCAAAATTATTATTTTATAAATCCTGATCTTTAGTGTTTAGGATAATAAACAAGATGACAACAGTTTTTGAATTGAATAAAAACAAGCGGTCCCCGAATGTGTTCTACTCTTAATTTCATCATGGACCTGATTTCTACTGCGGACCCAAAATTGAACAAAGCTATAAGAATTTATGTTATGTCTCACTTCTATGCCACTTAATTTTTTTAAAATTCTCTTGAGGTGTGTACTCCATATCATACAGATAGAGAATGGGCTCACAGCCCTTTGCCTGTAGCTAAGACATAAAAATTTGACACCCCTCTTCTACAGAAGTACCAGTGGTACTCACATCAATGGAAGCAGACCAGAAGTCTGCCCTGACTGCCCCTTTTGCCTTGAATTTCAGATACTGTGGAAATGTTAAATGTTGACTAGAATATAATTTAGGTACATTCCAACAGATCAGTCATAGGCCTAAGACAAGAGTGTAAAACATATCACAGCACAAATACAATAATTGTTTCTAATATAAATACAAATTATATAGTTATAACAGTAATTTACAGTCAGCTGTAGCATTATTACAAAAATAAATACACAAGAAAGCATAACCACTATTGTTTACTTTATTTATAGTAACTGAGAATTTTTGGTTGAGATAAATTCCTCTGCGGAGTAGGAGTGAGATAGGAGACACTATCTGTATTAGAGACAAGTACTGTAAGTTGTGCTATGACATCTTCTATATCCTCGGCTTGGGCCCATGGAGGATGTGTGAAATGTAAATAAATTCTATTCATAATAACTGTGCTGTGTTAAATTGAAGAAAGACTGTATTCGAGCTGTAGCAAAATTTAAATGGAGGCGGTTATAACATCACATACAGCCACAAACCCCAGAACATTTTAAAGTCACTTACCCTTGAATCATTTCAACGACGCAGAGGAGTTCCCAAGTATTAGAACTTTCTCTGAAGTGTCGTATAGAGGCGTTTGCACACGATAGTCCCATGTTGAGTGAACAGTCTTTCGTTTCGTTTCTGTTTCCACACATCCACTTTAAAAATTAAATACTGTATCCGTATTCATCTCTCTTCATGAAATACTGAATACGATTACTTGTTAAGATAGGTTTAATACGATCATATATCGGAGTTATAATAACTGCACTGCTTTAGAGTACGTGAAGACAGTATTATGAGCTTATACAAATTTTAAATGTCGGCTGCTATAATCTCACAGAGTAGCAAACCCGTCAGCAGCAAATGATCACCGTGGCCCGGCAACAGGTGAGACACAGAATACATTAAATGATGTATGACCCGAATGAGTTAAGCCGGACGTCACGGCCAGTGTTTGGTTTAGATAAATCACGTATTCTTGTAGGTAAACCAAATTCTTTTCGTTTCGAAAATTTTGCCATCACAAAACTGAGGGTTAATTTATTGTACACTTTCACGCAGGCATTAAAACGACTTACGGAGGTCTAAGGGCGGCCGCACACCAACTGCGTCAAGACATGAGACAAAAGACGCAGTCTTGCTTCATTCGTGATTCAGACTCGAGTCCGCACACCTAAGTAGCACGTATCTGCGTCTTATGAAATTCCAGTCTTATTATCGAATGTCCCCCAGAATCCTGTAAGGAACTTCTTCGGAGAGTTTCTCAACCGTCTGCACTATTTTAATATTTGTTTACTCTTCACTCATGTCGATAACGTACACTGTGCTGTTCCTTGAGTACAGATGTCTCAGTCTTGACGCACAGAAAAGGAACATGCCGAGTCTTGCTCAACGTGTCTGCAGCATGAAGCTGACGTCAGTATCATGACTCAGACCGGTGTGCGGCGGTTTACATAATCTCATTCGTTTCAACTGTGCTCCTTTCTTTGCGTCATGTCGCAAACATCGTGTCTTGACGCTAATCAATCACATGAGTTTCATTATTAGAAGCCAATTTACAACAATCCTAACTTGTAAATCAGGCCTTTCCACAGAAAATTAAGCTAATGTTAAAAACTTACATTTGCCCTTAAAAGCACTGAAAATATAAGTAGCGTTCATAAATCACCCACTCAACTGTTGCCATGTAGTATGCATTAATGTAAATCTCTTTTTATTTTTATCTTCAATTCAAATTCTTTGAAATTAATAAATACATACTTCCATGATAAAAATAAAGAAATTTTCATGTAACTGAGCAACATCTGATTTCTATTACATGAAAATTTGTATGTGATCTTCAAACAGACATTTTCATCATCCCAATTTAGCCAAAAACTATTTAATTTATTATTAAAATTCAAAATTTTTTGTGTAATGGTTATTAATATAATTTGACACTCTAAATTAATATATAGCATGCACAAAGCCAATTAAAGTATAACAATCTATTGCCAAAACTTTGAAACTTACAATCCATCACTGGAACCTGAAATCCTAACTTCTAAGAATTCATATTATGGACACACAAAAAAGAAATCTATCCTGCTATGCTGGGGCTCTTCTGTCGTATTTTTAGTCTTCCCCGGTATTTTCAGGCATATTTAGGACAAAGCCTTGAAATCAACTACTATTTCTTCTGTGTAGATATTTCCTAATTAACCTCATAAAATTTTTACCAAAGTCACTTGAGGCCACACAATCTAAGCAGATGATGGAGATTAATAACCTACGTGATTAAAATCAAAATCTGAACACTTAAAAATGATTTAATATTTACTACAATAAAACAAGTATGTCTTGTATGCTAATATAGGAAGTTAAATAAATGACAAAAGCTTCCAAAATCATATTACTCAATAATAAAATCAGACTTGAAACAGATCTATTATTTATAATATGTCTGAGGTATTTAAGACTGCAATATATTAACAGAGCACATAAACACAAGGTATGGTATAAATATCACAATTCTCTCACAAGGCACAACCAACTTGAACCTCATTAAGTTCAGTTAACTGTCAGTAACCTCACCCAGAACCTTTATTATTCAGAGAGGCACTTCATTTCTGGAAACCAAAGTGTTGTGAATGCCCACAAGCAAGAATGAACAATATAAGTTTACAATGTAACATCATTTCCACTCTGCTACGTGAACAAAATGGTCTCATTTAAATGAAATATTACTTGGACAAAATTAACTTGGTGTGTGCATGAGTGCTTTATCCTCCAAATTATTTTTCCCAAGGCCAACATGGTCTACTCAGACAGTGATATTTCTTTTCATTAAAACAAAAGAAAATAAAAAGAAGTTATGAGGTCACTGTTCTCAGAATGGCTAGACATTTCCTTTCTATGGTATGGCTCAAATAATTGTTCAGTGGGACATGTCACCTCAATTTATTCAAACCAAAGTTTTCTATATGGACAGCCTGCAAGTCACAGCCAACCTTAAGAGAAGTTAGTTTGACCCACAGCATCCATAAACCTCTGATTCTAGTATTTTAATGTTCAAACAATTCCAGATATTTCTCCTTATATTAAAATACTTAGAAATTTATGCTCAATTCAAGAAATGTAGGCTGCCCAGCACTAAAGAATAGTTTGGTTCAAAACATTTGTTTGATTGGTCTTAAAAACAGAATTCATACTTCTTTAAAGCTACCGTCTTGACATTAACTCTTGCAAAATTTATTTGCCCACTATATTACTATTTTTTT